GTTGGACCAATACGGGAGTCAGTTCAGGGTACGGCATGCGTTATTAGAATTGCGTGCTCATAGCCGATGCCACACAGCGGGAAGGTGTGGTAGACCAGCTAGACGCAAACTCACACCGCGCCAGCCGCCTGCACCCGATCCCGCCTCGGCTCATTCCGACTCAGTTGTTATATCGGGACGTGGTGAGTGAGGGAGGGGGAGATTGCGGTAGATGATGCGCAAGTCTAACTTCATCTAAAACTCGGTCACACTCGCGTCAACGTCCATGCATCCACCCTACTGTGGGGCTCCCGTAAACGACGGTCAAACTGTCTTTGTGTCGTGCGGTGTTGTAGCTCTAAGCTACTGGGTGTATATTGAGTGTAAAATCGACAGGCAAAGTGTCTAAAAGAAGAGACGAGGCGACACACAAGAATGAGGGTATTGCTCTGTATAGGACAATACGTTGCTTTCTTTGGCCGCAGTGCCTGCTGAAAAGGCTAGGGGGCTATGGTGTCGGCTGCCTTTATGTGTGCGTCGAAGTCAGATGAAGATACGTTGTGTATAATTGATGTTTTGCATTACCCGAGGGTGACCTGCTGAAGAACGGTATGGACGACTTTTAACATCTGTGTGCACGCGTGTCCGTGTTACCTTCAGTCGTGTAGTTGTAGGTCAGTGCCTTTGGGGTAGACTGGAATGCCTTTTGCCGCAGGAACATTCGTGATCAGCATTACCGAGCTCGAGTCTATCAAGCCTCAGCAACAATGAGGGTTGGTACAATAATAACCGTCGTTCATATAGTAAGCACTGGGAGTTATCTCACCAATAGCATTTGCAAATTTTGTCGGACGGTTGATGTGTTTTCACGACAGAAGACCGTGTACGTTTTATAAGCCTTGCCCGCTGATGCTGGCATTGAATAAGTTCACAGCTATCAAAAAAGACATACTTTTAAATGCTATTTCTATTAGGTTTTCGGAAAATTAGCATTTACCCTTTAGAAGGGACATTTTAACGCTCTACCTAGACTAAATCACTTCGTGAAATAGCCCCAAATACCCGAGTTCCTACTGTATTTATGTATAAAGAAGCACGACGCTAAAATGGTTTCGAGTAAATGCCTCCGCTAGCAGGTTTTTGTTTTAAGCAAAATTTTGTCTTCTGAAAGTGGAAGGATTCTCCTGTGATTTGTATGCTAGTTTAACCCAGTACGAACGATCGCGCGAACGAAAATATTCGGGTATAGTGAAGGATCTGAGACAGAAGGAGTTTCTCCACGGCGATGAGGTTTCAGCAGGTGGAATTTTGTTGAGAATAACAGCATACTAAAAGAAGAAGCCAGAGAGAATACACACTAATCAATTAACGGAACGAGCGAGGTGTTACAAGCAAGCCTGTAAACTTGCGCCAATACCCTGAAGGCAGTCAAACACGGATGTAAGTGGGTTCCACAGAAAGTGACCGACATTTAGAGATCTGTAGTACGGCGCTTCTAAGGAACCACCATGCTCATTTCCATTTCCACACCATCCTCCGCTGTTCACCCTTCACGCCTATAGAAAAATTCTGGCTCTCCTCTCATACTGTGAAATAAACCACCCCCAAATTTTAATCGGCATCCACAATTATATCCCTTGAAAGTGCGTTATCCACGATCACAGACCGGATCACCAAACACTGATGGCCGCTAGCGTCATATATATTCTAGGAAATTTCAATTATAAAGTCACCTCCTGTCAATGTTAGTCAGGTCAAACCAAAGAAAACCAAATGTCATAAGATGATTTGAAATCCCATGGCTGTCACAAAACGTTACCCCTAAACAAATTTCTGGTAATTTTTCCGGATGCCATATTAAAAGGTGAGAAAAAACTGGGCATATTCGCGTCTATGTCTGAGAAAATTTA